AGAGATCATGATGGGCAGTTTGGTTATAGAGTGCAACCGATTCAGCCTAATCTTCAGGAAAAGATTATGTCTTTGGTCATCGACTGATCATCAAGAGTTACTAAATCATTACCAAATCTACTATCTGTCCTCGAAATTGGTCTTTATGAATCTGTGTGTCCTTACAATCTCTACTCAAGCTCTATGTGTGATGTTTGCTTATGACCTCTATGTATTTGTTGTGTTGTGTGCTTTAAACGTTGGGAACTACTATAATTGCATGTGTGAAACTAACTATTTCGTGCTAATATATGAAGAATGGAGCCTATATTGAGAATCATTCGATTCGTTTTGTTTCGATTTAAAAGTTGGGTAGCAAAATGAAGCTCTTTATCCCAAAAAAGCCACCAATAAAGAGCCCATAGGTGACCGGTCACGCACAAGCCCAATCGTTGAAGATACCATGCTTTACAAAAATGAGGTAGAATATTTGTGTCCAATTTTTTGCTAATAAGATTTACAATGAAGTAGACGTTTTAGAAAAAAGAAGAAGATATACGCAAAGATATAGATTGAAATAATTTCGGACAATCTCTTATCCGCCACCTAATGTAGTATAAGGCATGCACAACATCCACGGATGCACCCATTATTGGGTCCAATTGGACAATTTTCTAATTCTTTTTATAAGAAATAATAATTCTTTTTTTTTTCTCAATCACTTTCTGAACAAATCATTCTTAGCAAGCGAATCAGGCATCTCCGAATATTTCGTTTTCTGTAAATTATACTCCAGAAATCATTATGTATTCCTAGTAGCAACTGGTGAGCTAAGATAAATAAACACCACAAAAGAAAAAGAAAAGAGAGATCAAAAGATACATTTTCGTGTAGTACTCTCTCTTTTATTCATTTAATAAAATGCCAACTTTTTTTAGCAAAATGATGGAACTTGGTGGGCCCATGCAGCCGCACCATCAACGAGATCTGTTTGAACTTTGAAGCAAGTTGAACTGCAAAGATGATTTAGCCACTTGTATGAACATTAAATAAATTAATAGGTAAACAAGTTGATGTCAGTCTCTCTTTTTGCGAATTTCTTTGATCTGTTTTATTCCGTTAGATAGATTAAATATTTTTTTTGTTTTTTC